GTTGGTTGCTCTTTGAGGAGGAGATTAAGATATTGGCGGATGAGTCATATGATTAAACTCGCTCGTATATATTTGACATTATTTTATTCATTCATTATTTAGTGTGTCGTAATAAATTTAACTGTTACATATACGTATGAATGTGAGTATGTGTGTATATAGGTGAATAATTGTACGATTTAATTCTATAGACAAGAATTCATGTCCCCTGTTTAACTTGCGGATAAACGCACACAAACAAACTCGTAAAAAGTCCCAATAATGAATAAGGGAGGATCTCATACTATTCACCGTATAGTACTTTTATATTATATATATATATATAGTATAGATGTATTGTATATAAAATAAAAGAGGGACATGCATGCGAATGCTCGCGTGCAGAAACTATCACTTTATCCGTGATTATGCGAATCACGAATAGAGCTGAGCATTGTTACTTCCTGTTAATTAAATATACAAATCACTGTCTCATTTTAAATGCAAGGAATTCACACGTACTTTCATCAAATTCTCATTAAGTTACCTTTATTACTATGTTACTGTAACTATTATTATAACTATAACTATTATACATTCACTGTAATGTAGCGGAATATTAAATGCATACGTTATGTCGCTAAAAAATATAAATGAATAGTCTAACGTTATGCGTGACCCAGTGAGCGTGACTCTTGTTGAAATGAATCCTTGTAGATTTGTGTATGTATGATTATTAATAACCATTACCTCGTGTCAATAACTGACAGTTAAATTTAATAATGAGATCAGGCGAACTGAAATACTTCCGTACTATTTTTTAAGCTACGTGATGCTAAAATATACTTTTATAATTTATATCAAGACAATAATTATAATAGTCGACAAAAAAATTTTTATGAAAGCTAAATTTTATTATAAAAAATTTATTTTATTTACTTTTAAAGTTCAAAGAATCAGCTATTTATAAAAGAAATTTTTTTTTAGCATAAGTAAACAATTACCAATCAATAAATAGGTCATTAATTCATTGCTTATTATGTAATAGAATTAAAAATATTTAGAATTCTTCCTTTCGCTTAAATCTTAAATTACAGATTTAATAATGACTAATTACTTAGTAATAAGTAATAACAATTTATTAAAATTTTTAATATTAATTCCCAAGGGGATAATTTTTATGTCGAGATAATTCTACTATAATATAACATTTAATTACGTAATAATTACTGGAAGCGATACAGTGCCTGTAAAATAATCTTATAATAGTTACTTCGATTAATTGCACGGTAACGTTACTTATCAATCATAAATATAATTAATATTGCTTTTACAATCTGTAATTTATTAACAAAATAAAAAAATAGTCTCTTTTTTCTATTATTATATTAAAATCAAAATAATATTAGGAATTTAATGATTAAAAATTGTACTATTATTAATCATTAACGTTATCAAATATTAACTTGGCCTAATTTCATTTCTACACTTGTTAAATATTAAAAAAAAAATAATGTAAATGAGTATCGTGTTGAATAATTGTTTACTTAGATCGTGATTATTAAGTCACATTAATATATAAACTTACACTCTCTTAATTATTAAAAGTTGTTTTAACACGCAAACTTATTACGTGACTTGGTACGCCGTTACTTTACACCCTTCAATTTGACGTTTTAGGGTCTCAGTTTGTGATGCCAAACAAGTGTACTCAACACTCTAGACTAATAAACGCTTGCGTCTATCGATCATTTTGCTTTTAAGTCGAGTATTATTCTTCATTCCATTTCAAGCGATCTATAAATAGTTTTACAGTTAATATTAGTATATAATCTTCAAATACATATTCTTCCCATTGATATTAATACGATTGATCATAATTCAGTACACAATCTTGTGATAAATCAATTTCCCAAAAACTTGACTTGGTTATTTTTTAACCTTCGGTGAATTTGAACCTGGGCCCTTTGCGTAGCTATTATCGCAAGTAAAGCTTGTAAATAAAAGGTTGATAAAAATCAAAATCTCGTGCGCGCAACCAATTCAGTAGAATTGTTTTCGTACATATGTCTATGTCTATGTCCGAGACAAAAAATAGGGCCTGGGGATACGGAAGGGGGATGGGGATTATAAAATAATGTCTTTCATGAAGCGTGTGCACACGTGGTGCGGTGTCTGTAAGTTGGATACATGCTACATACACATTTGTGTCATATCTCTTTCCATCAGGGGCTGGGTGAGCGAGTGAGTAAGCAAGTAAATGAATAACTAGGGCTGCAAAATATAATAGAAACGGAAGAGAAGACAGCAAGCCATACGTGGACTCAAATTGAACGACCAGGAGGTTTTCATATGCCAGCAGGGCCTGAAGCTCGTTATGGTGACGCCCAGATAGAATTTCATCTGGAAAAGGAATAAAATCATTAATATTGGTATCTGTTGGAAGTTATGAATAGGTAATCGTGATTATTAATTAATTAAGGTTTTATATTTATAAATGAAATACACAGTGGTTAGCATTCATATATTTAGTCTTTATTTAAAAGACTACGTTTTCGAGAAGCGTCCTTACGTTTGAGAGAGTCGATTTGTACTAACTTAAAAACTAATAGGAAAAATTCACAATTAGGTCTAAGCCTCTTCTTAAGAATCGTAAAATTATAGATGTTTTACTAAATTAATTAATTATTTTGTAATTAATTAATTACAGATGTTTTACTAAAAATATATATATATATATATATATATATATATACAACTCCGAAAAGCAAAAAAGTCCTTTATGTGACCCAAGTGTCCGGGGTCATAAAACAGAGGTAGGACTTACTTTTCCTTTTCGAAAATATTTTCAACTAAATATTAAGTTTCTTTAAACATAAAATCTAAGCATAGATTAAAATACTAAAATAAAAAATAATTTGTAAAATAAGATTCAATTTTTGCTTAAAGAAAATTCAACAATATCTCTACTCGAATATTTTTAAATATTATGATACAATAAATATAAATACAAAGGAAGAAAAGTAATACTTACCAAATACATCTGGAGAATCCCAACTGTAAGTATCACAAATCCGGTTTTCACTTTTATTTTAATTACTCATTAACATTTTATTAAGTATGTTTATTTTTTTGAGCTGTATTACTTATCGGCTTTGTAGTAATTATTAATAATTTATATTTCTTGTTGTTTAGCATACCTGCGCTAAAACTGGCGAAGGAGATAAACAAGTGATTGAGCGACGTCAATACCAAGTTGCAAATTGCAAGTTGGAAGTTGGAAGCTTCATTGGATGATTAAGCAATTTATTATTGTCTATTACTATCCACCTTGATGCTCTTGGTCTTAGTCTTGGGGAAAGGCTGCTCAATACTCACTATATTTCTTAGTCAATTAGAACCGGGATTGGCTTGTAGGTGTGGTACAGTACATGTCTTGTAAGATGTATTATGCCATTGGAATAATACTCAAGATATTGAAGATCAATAAGTATGAACTGAAAAAATAAGTTGTCAATATTTATTCTTTAGTTAGAATAAAAAAAAAATAACTGAGTTGTGTAGCAAAATTTTTTTAAAAATTAGATTCATTTTTTAATATTAAGTAAAATTAATACTTAAAGGGGTTGCATGTTGATAAAAATTAAAAAAATCAATGATTTGTTCCTTAATAATAATAAGATAATGAGCAGATTAAGAAAATTTTCTCAAGAACTCGACGATTTATTCCTTAATATATGCCATTCGTATGAAGATCCGTTACAAGTCCTTGAGAAGAAATAAACGAGGCAGCTTTTAGAACTTTAAAAGTAAAATTATCTTTATTATAATCGACGCTAGTTTCCACTAGGTTGACTACTCACATACTCTCTTGATTTCTCGGACACAAAGTTCTTGGTTACTTACTCCTATTTGTGTTGGCGGTGAATTAGTAGTCGTTACCTTGAGGATCTACTAGCGGATTACACAATTTTAAATATGATTATGCTTGTTATTGAATTATATGTTTTTCATAGATAATATACCGGCAAAAGAATAAATATATAAATAAATAAATAATTTACAGAATGGTATTAAATAATCAATGTAAAATTCCTGTCATTATTGTTTAGTTAATAATATATAAATATTTTTTATAGTACTTACATACTTTGCTAATAATGTCACTGTGTGTTTGTATATATTCTATGTTCTATGTATGAGAAGATTATGTAAACGTATGTATCAGAGGACAATTATGGAAAGCAGAGATGTGTGATATTTTTATTGCGTGATAGCCGTATGAGTTTTTATGAATGTTGCAGTAAAAGACGAGTTGTGTACTCGAAATGATGCAACTTAATAATTAAACTGACACCATGTGACATTCCACTGATTAATATTATTTAAAACGTCTCTTTATTTTATTATCTGTGCCAAGTGTATTTAATTAGGGCTTTATTTGTAAGTTATGGTATGTAAATGCATTTTATTAATATTTTATCACTTTATTTAATTAATGAAAATACTCAAGTACTTAATCTAATTTTCAATTCATTTAATGATATTGAAATCAGCAGACATCTAAAAATTTTTTTTAATTTTATAACAAATCAGTTTTGAGAAAAAAAAAATATTTTTTTTTAATTCCCAGTAATAATTTTTTTTTATTTTTACATATGAAATTTTTTTCAATAATTGAATTATTTAATAATTTCATTGTTTTTAAATTTTAAAAAATTGACAGATGTCTATTGACTTTAGCATCATTTTATTTAGCTTAATCTAATGCTTTCATCTAAACAAGGAAGTGAGAATTCGTCAGATGTATCTATGCATATACTACACCCGTGCAGATATTTCATACGCACAGGGCACGGGTATCAGAACGGATAGTGTGTGATCGACCTGTGCCCCATTCCTCATCGGACGAATTCTCACACTCTAATTAGTATTAAATTTAAATATCTTAATTTTCAATTTTTGAATTTTTACATAGATAATAATTTTAGAATATAATCAATAGTGTTAATGTAAAGTTACTAAGATATTGTAGCGCGTACTTTCATACTGACGGACTTTTTACACAACAGGCAAAAATTCATAATCTCCGCGCACCTAGTACAAGCCACCATGTGTCTGCAAGGCAGGAACAGCACCCCCAATACTTCGTTATAGCAAATTATACATTTAAGGGCGTCATCAGTAATCTTGTTGACCGGCTTAACTTCTGCATCTAGTTTCTTCTCGGGGTTTTCTTCTGGTTTCTCAATACTCGCTGGGGGATCAGATTTTTTATTTATGTCGGACCTAAAGCGATTGTTATCCTACAATGAAAATAAATAAAACAGTAAACTTATTAATTAATCAAATATACATTTCTTCTTATCGTTAATATTTTTTTTTTATTAACTAATAAATAAATAAATAATTACGATAATTACCTCAATAGAAGGTGATGTGACATACCGTCCAAGGACGAAGTTAATGAAGTTTTGGCCCTGGATCATCAGGACGTAGGGGCACTTTTCGAACCACTTGGCGTGCTGGAACCATGGATCGCTAATGAACGTCCAGTTATTCAACTCACCGCCACAGTAAAAGCAGATAGTGTGGTGGTCATCAATGCCGGTGTAGTAAAAGCCAGCGTCAACAAGTAGGTCCTTTCGTGGCATAGATTTGGGCCATGACTCAAAACTTTTTAATCTGGTGCTGTAACTCCCGAATTCCGGATGTGCCTTTATGGATGGGACGAGCGGACAGTTCTTTACATGGCGACATGCAGGCTTAAAGGTAATGCAAAACTTTGGTATACAGAATTGCATGATTCGCAGTTAACGTGGGGGGCATTCTCTTCATTAATTGCCGAGCAGTTTCCGGGTGAGTCGAACTATAGTAAATTGTTTGAGGAAGCCGCGATCTTCAAATGCGCCGTAGGTCATGATCTTTGTTGCGTACTCTTTCCTTAAAATAGGAAAATTAAAGAAATTAAAACTTGAAATCCGCACTACTTTAATGACTCATAAAGTCCAAACTATCGCGGAATTGAATGAGCGTCTCGCGAATTTCGAAACTGCGCATAAATCAAGAGATAAGAATAAAGACGCGAAAAAGTCACACGCGCAAGAGCAGTCCAGTAAAGGCAAAACCCGGGAAGACAAATCGAGTAATGTTTGCTACGGTTGCGGTAAACCTGGTCACCTACGTTATAATTGTCCAGAAGTAGATAATTTTTGAAGTGAAACTTCTTTAGGCGCATGAGGGTAAAATTTTTACAGATGAAACGTCACGCCGGTATGCAACGGAAGTGTCGGAAAAGAGAGAGAGAGACAATAAAAACAACAATTTTAAAACAATTAAAACAACAAATTAAATAATAATTTAAAAATTAAACAGTGCGATGAAATACAATAATTATCATAAGAGCAATGATAAAATGAATTACTCTTATTATCTGTATGCATGGTTATTATAATATTGAAATATCTTTAATTTAATATGGAAAAAATTTTTTTTCTTAAGCTTTATCTACCCAATTTCTATGAAGTTATAAATAGTAGAAAAATGATGTGTCATAAAGAAGTTTTACTTCTTACCTGTGTACTCTGATACTCATACATATTTTTTTCAACTACAACTATTTAAAAAAAAAAAATGCCGCGAAATTTTAGCCAAATTTTTAATTTTTTTGTAAAAACCTCTGCCAAAAATCCAATTATCATTTTTTTTTCCTATGTTCCAGACCTAGCTTGAAGTACATTTTTTTTTTTTTCATTACAAATAATCCTACTATGAGTTCTGCTGATCACGCGGACGCATCTTTTTTTCGAGGGCTTGCCGGAAATGATGTCACATCAGCAGAGTTTTTAATATTTTTTTTTTTAATTTCAGTAATTCCTTATTAAACATGTATCTTTAAGACAGTAAAAAGTTTCAATGAAATATTTCATTTTTTCTATTACAAAAAAAATGGTTAAAAATAGGTATTTTTTTCCGGAGGAAACCCATGTAACCCCTTAAGTATTAATTGTTAACTCTCATTAAAATTGATTTATAAAACAGGCAAGAGCTAAATCGGAACTACGAGAAGAAGCTACTGTACTTGATGCAGAAGAAGTTATTAAGATACATAAATTTACAATAGAAACTTTGAAAAAAGTTATTTTATCGTCGCGATCAAAAGGCCGATACCAAAAATCACCTAGTGAGGTAAAATTAAATTTTTAAAGGTTGTAATAAAATTTATTGAGCATGTACTTTATGATACTTATTTTTCAATTTCAGGATATTCGGCTGTACTTTAAAAAAATAATTAAATGTGATAATCCTCAAACAGAACAATGAATTTAATAATTATTGTTTGTTATTTATTTAATTCTGTTTATTCAAGTTTAATATTTTTATTCAATTAAAATATTTATTGTTGTTATAACAATAAGGTTTAATAATCAATTTCGGAACTTTGTGTAAGTATTCATTGTTTATTTATTTTAAATTAATTGAAAGACAATTGTTCATATTTATATTTAATAAATTGTTATTTCTTCGCGTTTACTCATTAGCTTTCCATTGTATTAGTCATAAAGATATGATTAAGCATATAAACGGGTATAAAACTGAGGAATTATGTGTAATGGTTAATTTTACAGCAATGTCATGCTTTAATATACATAAAATTGAGAGACATTACACGTACTTGAAACAACGCAATTTAATTATTAAATTGACACCATGACACGCTAAGTGGTGAATAATATGCATATATTATATTAAGTATTTGAAGCGAATTATCTTTATAGTAAAATGTAATTATTTTGTCATAATTATGTTATCTAATATGAAGTCATTATTTATTCCGACCTTTCCGGATATCATTAAATATAATTAGAGCATAATAGTAACTTTATTTTCTAGATAAAAGGAAATAACATGGAAATTTTTTTATAAAAATTGTTGACTAAGTTTTATAAATTTTCACCTCATCATTTAATTAACGAGCCTTAGTACTTTTTGTTAATTCAATATTTATCATGTTTTTTTGTTTGTTATCTTCAAAACAATTTTTACAGATTACATACTTGTTTTATGAATTTCGTATTAGTAAGCTTAGTATAATATGAATGTATACTTACGGTAGCCATTGAACTGATGCTTAAAATAAGTAAACAAACATTTTTACACTTTTTAATAAAAATTAAGTAGTATAAGGATATTAGGTGAGTTAAAAAAAATAAATAAAAGTCATATAAATAATTTGTTTTCAAATGTTAATCGTTAATGTTATTTCAACGTAGTCTTTAATCGTTTTTTAATATTGCCAGTCCGAACACCCGTCAACGCATATCATAAATTATATTTATAATGAACTTATTTGTTTATTTTTATTTTTTATTTTATTAGTCAATACGGTATCATTAATATTATTCTGTGTATTTTTATATATATATACATATTCGTACAACGTATTACATATCTAATTTCACAGTCTAAAATTAAGCGGGGAGGTAAAAGTTGTTGAAAATTTATTTTTTCAATGACAAAATTTACTATTAGAATAAAGATAAGTAATAGATTTAATAATTATCTGAATTATTAATGCATTCAATGTTAGAGTTTACTTAACGAGGACTTTTTTTTTCATTTCTTCTTCATGTATTTAGTTAGGTATTTATAAGATTAAGGTATAAATTGTTTATAGAACAAAGAAAATTTAATCTTATCAACTATGTAAGATCATTGCAGTGCTGCAAGTAGTTTTTTGGTTTTTTAAATAATTCTTTTCTTCCCTTGTCTTCATTTTAAGACTTTACAATTATCATTACTTCATTCTTATTAATTTATTTTAAATATCATTAAACGACAACTAGATAATTGTAGTATGTACAATAAACAATGTACAGTTATTTTTTATCATAAGTCTACAAAATGCAGGGTGATTTTTTTTTTTCATTGTTGTATTTATTCAATTGATAATCGTTTTCTGATAATGATAACATTAACACACCTATTCACTACAAAATTATTATTATTAAATGTTATTATTATTATTATTATTATTATTATTATTATTATTATTATTTATTATTATTCTTACAATAACATATTAATAATATACTTCTTTAAATACTATCGCAGTAGTTAAAATTATAATATTATTTGTTATAAATAAATGAATTAATGTTGCCAAAAAAGTCCACGATCACCGCAGTCACACAGTTAAATACTTCTATAATATATTATTTATACTTATATAGACTTAATCAAGTGCCATGCACAGTTAACTTAATAACTATAATCAGTTAATTAATTACTTAGATGGCTATTAATTATTTCAATGATAACAACGATGCATTTTCAATAAATGGCGACAATGAATAGTATTAATTAATTAATTAATTAAGTGATGAGCACAAAAGAAGAAATGATGTACAAAAGTTGAGATTACTTTTTTTTTGTCAATAGATGGAGCTTAGAGCGCTGTTCTCGCAAGTACCTTTGAATACAAAACAAAGTAAGGCTTTAGAGAGTTCAACGGTTCGTCATTAACAAATTATTATATAGCGTCGGATTCACAGTAAACACCAACGGTAATAAGAATTGTTAATTATTAACATACCCGACGAGGATTTTTCGCAGGGCACGGAGATGGGGTTACACCTGCCATGCCAGTCGAGGAATCGTCCTCTTGCAATGAATAACAATGTTTTTTTTTTTCTATTTTTTTTTCATTTATTATTACATTTATAATTATAATTATTCTTTAATATAATTATCGATTTTTAATTTTAGTTTTTTTTTTTTCTTTAAAATCAAGTCAACTGTTGGAAACACTAGAGAGTTTTTCAGAATGATTGAAAGCTATCGGATGAAACTCTAACCGATCCGAAACGATCGATGTAACAATAATTAATTATATAATATTAAAATTTAAATAATGAAAATGATTTATTGAACATGAATAATTAAGTTTTTATTTTCAATTAATTTAAACAAGTGAGTATTTATTTTTATTGATTTGAAAATATTTTTAAAAAATTGGTAAATTCGACCGTCAAGGATCGGCCGAGTTAATTAATATATTTTATATATTTTGTTTATCAGGTAATAAGTGGGGCAGTGCTTTATGTACAACGTAGGCAAGACCGAGCCCACGGCACCGTCGAATGCGACTTAATAATCTTTTACAAAGTAATATTTTATACTTTTATTTTTTTTTTTTCACTGCTAAGATTCGCATATTGTTATTTTCAGCTAATTAACATAAATTTCAAAAGCTTATCATTATACAAACGTGAAAAATTGTATCCTCGCGGGTTGACAACGACGGTAAATCCCTTCGTAACATTACAATTACATCCATATTTAATATTTATCAATATCATTATTTATTTATTTATATATGTATACATATGGATACTGTCTAATCCAAGCTTTACTACTTGGAACATAGCAACTGGTGATTTCAATTAATGCTCTAAATATTTTAAAACAACCGAGACATTTTTTTCCAATAAAATAAACCCGTGCATTTAAATGCATTAGTTCAAATTTATCAAATTTAACAAACAATTAAAATTTATAATAACCAGCTCAAATATCTCGTGCGTTAAAACTTGTGCAGTAATTACAAAATAATAGTCATACCTATTGTTAACTTCTGCTTGGAATTTTTTTT